TACAAACCTTAGATTTGTTGGTCTATAGGCTTAGAATTTGTTAGTGTTTGGTTGTGTGTAGAGCTTTGTCCCCAAGTGCCTTTTAGTGAACCGGCCTTAGCATGTCTCAGCCTGTGATGATTGATGTCGATGGCTGTGAGACGGCCCAGCACTTGGCAGCGAAGCATTTGCACAGTGCCCTGGAGAGTGTCAACAAGTTGGGAGGCCCACCGACTTCTTCCATGGCACAATCGATTACTCTAGCAGCAGTTCGGTCTCCACCTGCTAAAGTGGCCAACAAGGATGAGGACCAAGGGCGTGCTTTGAATCTTCAAAGGCAGAATGCCCAGTTCTTTGAGATCAAGGCCTTCAAGGTCAGCACGGGCTTGCAGAAGTACTTGTCTGGCCAAGCTCGACCAGTTGAGCCTCCTCAACATGAGGTCATTTCAGCTCTTGATTTGTTCTTATATATTTGTTTGGAGGGAGGGGAGTTTCATATGTGTGTTTCATTATGTTCTTGTTGTTGAACTCTCTGACTATGTTGGACTTCAGGTGATCCGACGCGTGGCCACCCCGCAGTGTTCAGAGACATACTCGCCTTTGACCCCGAAAGGCCTGTTTGAAGATTCACAAGATGCTCCACAGAAGCTGCCTTATGAGTTCTTCAACGCTGATGTTGATGACCTTGACCTCTTCACAGTACCAGAAACCCAGATTGATGAGTCTCTCCCGCAAACAGTGTTATCTACTGATGAGGAGAAACACTGCCGGTCTGGTCAACTTCTTTCTGATGGGTATGGTCCATTGGAAACTTTGATTGAATTATATATTGTGGTGCAGTTTTCCATTGTTCACTTTCAGCTTTCACAGTTGTGAACTTCATGCTGATGCGCTTTGTGTTCAAGTTGGATGCCAGGCAGATGGTCAGGTGGCTCAGCCCGGAGGCCACGCAGATGGTCAGGTGGCTCAGCCCGGAGGCCACGCAGATGGTCAGGTGGCTCAGCCCGGAGGCCACGCAGATGGTCAGGTGGCTCAGCCTGGAGGCCACGCAGATGGTCAGGTGGCTCAGCCTGGAGGCTACGCAGATGGTCAGGTGGCTCAGCCAGTTGCAGACGATGCACTGGAGGTTAAGTCTGACAGCCACACAGATGGTCCTTTGCCTCCGCCTGTTTCTCTCAAACGTCGCCGATCAGTACAAGATGGTCAAGCTGCTGTGACAGATGATATGATTGATGCAGAGCAGGTGCTTCTCAACATTTGTTTTTATGTTCAAACATGTGTGTTCCAACAGTTTTGATGTGTGTTGTATTTATAAAACCTGTGGTTTCTGGAAGGATCAGCCTGTTGGTGAGAATCGCTGGAAGTATTCTGGTATGACTCTTACGGAAGACATGAGTCCCGAGTTGCAGAATGCTATCATCGAAGAGCGCAAGGAACGCAAACGTGTCAATTCAAGGGCTTGGCACGAACAATTCATTTCGAAGGGGGTTTCTTAGTCTGTTCAACAACCTTTAATGTTTGTTTTAGACAAACCTTTAATTTTTTTTGGGGGGGTTTATATTTCTGCCACACACATTGTTTTCTTTAGGTGAAACGAAGTGCAAATCCTTCGACTGACGATACGCCAGCAGAGAACCCCCCAGCGGCATCATCATCATCATCATCATCATCGGCGTCCAAGAAAAACAAGGACAACAAACATGAGATTCGTTGGCAGTTTGCCACTTACATTTGCATAAGGAACACGTTTGGTTACTGCAGTACAAATTATTGCACATCACGTCTCAACATTTTTTTTGTATGCCTCTCTTAGGTGAGGGAGGCGATCAAGAATGGGAACAGCATGAAGGATGCTCACAAACTATGGCTGAGTTCGACAGAGCGAGCCCAACTGCTTGCTGGAGAACAAGGGGTCCAAATTTGATTTGGAAGGTTTCAACTGCCATGCATGAGCCTTTGGGGGATACAAAGGTGTGAAAAGCATCGGCCCATTTAGCACAAAGACAGCATCAGCCTGAGTTCTTCAACTCAGAAAAGTTCGAACGGTGAAAAGCAGTGTATGCATCCAATGTTTTGGGAACAACACGTGATACAGTACTGTGAATTGCGCAGTTTATAGGAAAAAATATCACAACCCTGTGAATTGTGCAATTTCAACGCCAGGTATGACCTGACCGGCTCTGAGAGTGAAAGCCGTGCAACCTTTCACCTGCGTTCAAAGAGAATGTGACTCTTTATCTTTTAGTCTATTAGACACAAGCTGCCCAACCAAGTTACCTTAGATACAGTGAGCGGGTCACATCTTTTCTGTGGAGCTGCTGCTTAGACTACAGTGTGGTGAAAAGGATGTTTGCCCGCTTTGCTTGGTTCACTATAAAGCTGCTGTGTTCTGGACACATGTGTCTGCAAACAAAAAACATGTTTTTTGTGCATGTTTGTTTTGTAACTTCGAGTGGTCCCCACCAACCAGAGTATACAAACAGGCCCTCTGGCTGAGCCCCTTTTCCCAACAG